CCATTGTCTGTAATGTTAGTCTGTAATCATTGAAAACAATACAGATGAATCAATTGATCAAGTGAAACAAAACTATTTTAAATGATCAATTAGAATGAGAAGTATCAGCTTCTCTAGTGTGGCTGTGTGCTTCTTTTCTTGGTAAATATCAGTCAGTGCAATTTTAATGCATTTGGTTTTGGACTGTTGCCTGATGAGTGCCATGGGAACATTTCAGGTCAATAATAAGTCAACTAATCATAAACATATTCGTACAGCACTCTGAAACAGTGACGATTAGCTTGTGTATGATCACTGGTGGTAGTGTGTTTGAAAAACAAGTTTCTTCTATTGAAGCATGAAGGAACACAAATAGGAGGAGACGGAAAATAACAAAAAAAGGACGAGGAAGCAACAGGTAGCGAGGAAGCGGCTGAGTGGGGAAGATGAAAACCAAGCATACCAAAGTCTGGACTTTGATCCAGCTGCACAAAGCAATGGGCGGTAGGTGGTTGTGGGGTTTGCGCAACTCATGCTCCAGCTGAGGAAACATGATAAGAAGCGGAGAAAACTGATGTTGTTGAAGCGTGAGGAAGGATCCTCAAGTCACCTCAGCCCCACTGACAGTGAACGACAAAGCTGTCTTCTACCTCGGCTGCTTTCGAAAAAATGGTCTGTAGCGTTCTCACGACCTACTCTTTATTCAGAACAATGGGGAAGGTTGTTTTTTTTCCTTCAAATGCCTGCATGTTATTAGAGGCAGGGGGGCAGCCTTGTGCAAAAGTGGGGAGCAAGAGCCCCAACCTTGACAGTTCACTGAAGCAGGCAAGTGGAAAACTCGCCACCGGGGTTTCAGGCTCAGCTGAGGCATTGTTCCAACCCATGCTCTCGTTAGGGAGCTGCAGAAAAAGAAGAAAGAAGGACTCTGTGGAGCCTGCAGGGCTGCATCGAAAGTACAGTAACACCAATATTTTTGGGCTGAGTACTGGGCTTAGTTTACTACCATACACTCCAAACAACAAATTACGACTATGTATAAAATGAAAGCTTGCAAGCTAAGTGTTGAACAGAAGCATACTAACACTTTTTGTAAGAGTGCGTGAAGATACATACAAGCAAATAAAAAAAACTAATTCTCTTTGCCTGTAATCCTTACCACTATAGCACACATCTAACATGATTCATGGCAAAACCGCCCTAAAACCAAACAAAAGGCCTGAGCTAAATCCTCCCTTACAGTATGAGGACATTTGACTTCTCTCATACCTTAACCCTTTTGATGACAATAGCTAAACATAGCTGACCATCACAGATTAACATTGAAGCTGATGCAATGTTGTGCCTCATCAAAAAGGGTTCTAATTTTTTGACAAGGCAAAGTCTCAAACTACTTTCATCCTCCGCACAACAGGTGTTTTAATCCCTTAGTTGTGCTGGATGATGTTAAAAAGGAACATCTACATTCTTACAATTTCAGGTAAGTCCAGCTCCTATAAGTGATTATAACCTTCTTAAAATTATGCTCAGGACTGCGTTCAAATCACTTTGAGCGCATTCACAGGGAGTTGTTTGCTGATGAATAGCAGGGGCCTGAAAGAGGGAGATGGCAAAAACCAACCAAGGCAATCAGGCTTGTTTTTGCTCCATTGTTTTTAGTTGCTATGAACTCAATTTTCTCCACCACTCCCAAATCTCAATCGTCTATAGTTTGAACACAGAGGATGGGGGGGAGGGTAAACAAGCCATGCTATAGAAAAAGAACAGGAAAAACCAAGCAAAACACAATAATGCCACAGTATGATGATATAACACCAAAGCATGCAAAACAACACATTGAAAAACAGACAGGGCTACTAATCAAAGGAAGAATGGCCTTCATGCTCTTTCTGGTTCATTCTTGGCCAGGCCTACTTTCCCCCCCACACTCACAGTGACTGCATCACAGCGCCTGTTTAGGTAGAAATGTAGGCAAACACTTTTTAAATAAAGTAAAACACTAACTGTAATACCTTCGAAATACTGACGCAATTACAGTACTTGTATTATTCACAGTGGCTTGTTAGTTTTTTAGGATAGGACTTGTAGTTTATAACGTCATCATGCCAGTGTGTCTGGTATGGACATGTCAAAACCTACTGTCCCATCCTATGCTCTGAGACAAATGCATGATGATAGATGCAGCTAGGCATGAATGGAGTTGAAGCATTTGACAGGACAAGATATAAATCTAATGTATCTGTCAATTGACAAGATATGAACAGTAAGTGTTTTCCAGGACGATGATCCACTCACTCGTCGACATGGGTTAGTCCTGTTGCAAATAAACAGAATATTAAAGGGCTGTTACTTATAAAATGCTAAAATCCTGAAGGATGTTGTGTTATCTAGACTTCAGAAGTCAAAGAGCACAAAGGCAATCAGAGGAAGAAAATCTTCTCTGACAACTTCTTCGTATCTTGAAATGTAGCTGAGCCAGTGCCTGTCATGTATCACGGGCAGCTCAAAGACAGATGTTGAGCTCTAGCCATGCATATGTGGGGCAGCCAGAGTAATAAACAATTACATAACAAAGGGAGGATATCCAGGGATTAACTGAAAACTGGTACAAATGCCAACATGTGATGTGTACAACTTGCAAACGGGATGTTGGCCTTGGGTAAAGAAGGTCAAAGTTCAAGTTTGTGTTGGAGAAACAATGTATTTTAAGAGATGTTATCAATGTTCTGCTGAAGCAATGTGAAAAAGTATGCATGCATGCATTTCACAGGACTACAACATGCATATTAAGAGCATGCAAAGTGTTTACTGGTGCAGGTTTATTCAAATGTAACCTAGATAATAAAGAAATATAATGAATATCAAATCTCCATTGTTAGAATGCATTCCCAAAGAAAGGGCCTGTTTTTGGCTAATGTGCAGTTTTACAAACGTTGAATATACGTCATAATCTACTGTTATTCCCAACAGCTACATGCATATGAGTAGCTCCCTCATGGAGGCAGAGCAGGGCATGCACAGGCAGATACCCCCAGTAATGGCTCTGCCACCCAGTGAATGAAAAGGCGCTGTGGGTTATTTCATATCGGTACTGGATTACCGGGGTGATTCACACAAACATTTGACCCCGATCAATAATAATCTTCTTACCGTGTCCTGTTCCGGAGGAATATCAGTTTAATCAGGGGGTGTGTGAAATTCACCAGCCCATTCTTGGATATGCTGATGACTCGGAGCCTGTGGTCCAATATGTGCAAGTCCATATTGTCGGTAGCGTGCAGTGTCGTCTCCTCAAGTGTGCATGCGGCGGAGAAAACGCCTTCCTAGCTGAGTGGTATCATTCAAATGTTAAATATAGGCCTGGATGATGAGCATTAACGACGACTACGACCACCATGTCCCGCTGTGCTCCTCTCACAAGGCGAAAAACATCCGACGCAATCCGACTCCAGCCTCGCATAACTACTGTATATTCAAATAAAGGGACAGCACCAGAAACGACACGCCCCCTTCTCTTAAAGTGACAGGCTTATGTTTAATGTCCCGCGCATCCACATCTGTTCAACTGCGAACAGAAATGTAAGTGTATTCAAATTAAAGTACACGTGCACAACTTTAAACATTAAGGTATATACTTGGGTTACAAATGATAAAAAATGTGTAAAGAAATGTTTAATTTAAAAACGACATGTTGTGGTTTAACAGTCAGCATTATGTGCCTATACGTCCAGAACTTTCTGGTGGTTGCAAGCTACGTACACACACATCGTCTTTTTTAAAGCAATTTGTTTTTTGTACTGACAAAAGAACCGATATAACTTGTTAATTAGCTTATTTCAGAGATGCTGGTGCCATGGATGAGAAAGCGATTACAAATTCTCCCAAATAAACTGGCACAGGGTGACTTGTAGCCTAGGGGGTTCCCAAACTTTGCCATGCCAAGGACCCCCATATAGCATTATTCTCTGGCGGGGACCCCCCTGTTGCTATTTTTATTTTTTTATTATGAATACATTATGATGGAAAATATGACAAATTAATCACAGCGTAATACATTTTCTTAATTTGTATTTGTATTAATAATTAATAATCAGTTATTCTTCTAAAAAAAAAATTGTATTTATCTTTTGTTTGTCATTCATTACATTCATTGTGTGTTCTGTTATAAACATTCTTAACATATTATTAAACAGTAATATCAACAGTAAACATATTTTAAAAGCATTTTTAAAGTGATTTCTGTCTTTATAATATTATATAATTTTGAACAGTAATATGAACAATTAACATATATGTTTAGCATTTTTTAAAGCTATTAATGCCTTAATAATATTATATATAATATTCAACAGTAATATTAACAATAAACATATTTATATTCATATATATAAACAACAATATTTGCTACATCCGTGCACTCATCCAGCTACAGAGCGAAATATTCACTATAGCTCTCACTTGCTCCAAAAGCTGAGCAGATACTCAGTTTCGCTCTCAGTAGTGACAGCTCGATTCTGATTGGCTTGAAGGGCGGTGGTGTGATTTAAAAACAATTAAAATAAAATATTAATAAATAAAAAATATTAAAAGATTGGCATCAAAGCACACATATATTGATAGATATGCAGTTATTAATAACATCTAAAAAAAGAAAATTGTAACTTTAAAAAAAGAAAATAATTCCCATTTCCCTCAAACTTTGCATGACCCCCCCCCCGGGCGGCCCCACACTTTGAAAAGCACTGGCCTGGGCTACCCATTAAAGTTCAGTTTAACTTAGTTTTGCTTAATTTATATTAAGCCTTTATACTAGTCTTAAAAACGTTAGTCATGGGTAATACAAGGACCACACTGCTGTTATGTCAACTTTCTTTACGAAGATACAGACTGCCTCAGTTCCGCATCTTATTATTATTTTTGTTGTTTTGTTTCCCATTGTGAAGCTTCCTTGGTTCTCTTGAAAGGCGCTATAAAAAATTTAATTATTATTATCTTACTGTTGAAACAGCGAAATGATCAGATATTTGTGTGAGGTTCGACAAGTTTTATTTTCAATCAAACAGCTGTGAAGCTCATTGTGATCTCATTCACTATGATTCATTTCCAGTCATAAAAGTGCAATCATAAAAGCCTGAGTGGAGACTATTGTGAAATACAAATACACGGTCCATTACCATTATTCATCCTAAAAACAAAAAGCAGGATACACACCTCACTTGAAATGTAATTCACAATCTATAGCGTAACATACAAGCAGGTAGTGGAAGAAATACCATGTGGTATTATAATGGGGCCAGTATTGTCGTGCTTTACATATTTTACCTAAACTTCTTGAACTGGGGGCATTTCAGGATCCTCAAAGTCTACTCTTCACCATTACTTTGCATAACTGGCTGGCTGCTGTGCAATTATTGAATCAGTTTACATACTTGAACTTAATACAGATCATCCAGCAGATGAAAACAATCTGACAAATTGAGCACCTGATAAATAAAATGTATTATTATGATGATTACTACATTTTGCTCTGGCAATAGGTGAATGAGATTTAGTTCATGCTCCCAGGTTCCACCATCTTCCTATTGTAAGGGTGAACTTTTGGTGGGGATCATTATCCTAGACTCCATGCTTCTGATCAATGGCACTGAGGAGAGAGAGAGTAACCCGTTATCTTAAAGACAATACAATGAAGGGTAATTTGCTGCAACTGTTACATTATTTACATCGTTTCACAGAATACTCTAATCACATCATGTTCACTGTTTTCACCATGTTTTACAATCTCAGAAAATACTTATATTGCTAATATTGCTTATTGAGATATCTATCTACTGTAGCTATAAATGTGTCTTAATAAGCTGAGGCTGAGTACTTGAATGTATATTTTATACAGGCAAGAAAGCGTGTCCCTAATATGCTGACTCACATATAACCCTGTGCTTACCTGCTCACTTTGCTGCTAAAAGATTTCTCTTGGTAAATACATCTTTGCTCCTTTCACTTCCTCAGCATCCACCTGTGGGCTCTCTTCTCCAAAACCACTGAGGATGATCTCTTCCTATATTCTCATCTGTTGCTTAAAACACTTAACAGGAAGTGATAGTCCAGTTCACTTTATATTTCAATACACCAGTTCTCTATGTACTTTAAACTCACTGCATCTGTGAAGTAAAATGTCTGCAGTGCTTCAAATGTAAAGTATGTTTATTTTACAGGCTGATTATTTTACAGGCTGATTAACTCCTAAGCAATCCTATCCATCGTATTTGAAGCAACACTTCTTATTGCATTCATGGAAGTTAAGCCACAAATTCAGTCACTGATTTGATCTGAATCCCTCTTTTTAAAATACAAATATATGATGATATGACACTTTTGGTTTAACTGTGGATGATTTTCTTGGGAGTGTATGTGTGGTTGTTTGCTTCTCTCATACCTGTATAATACACATTTGCATCCCATCCGTCCTTCAGCCAGGCAGAGCTCCTGGTGTCCTCTCGGGACTGGAGGCTTTCATACGCTGCAAACAAAAGTAACCAAACCGAATGTTACATTATGAGTAAATAAATAAATGATACTTATATAAAACCGTTAGCTTCCCTAAGTTAAGGGATCAGGCAAATTGTAGTTTTGGCTGTACAAATAACTTATAGCGGCAGATTTACCAAATAATTGAATGTCTTGTTATGTAACATACTCACCCCACAAATGATGAACAACATATAGGTCCCCGATCTGTGAGAAGAAGCCGCCGATTGCTTCGTTGTTTTCCTGTCTGTGCATGATTGCCCTCGCCCTGTTGCGAGACATGTTATTTTCAGGGGTATAATGATCACCTAATCACCGGTTATACTTAATGCTTACTTCTGAAAAAGTTCAGGCGGCTGATATTATCTATTTTTAGGAAAATATTACGCCTTACCAGTGGTTTCCCCATTCAATCATGGTTCCTGGCTGAAACACAAGTGTGGAGGTAAATTATTAAGCTTGTTTATTTTACACGGACCGACCAACTCAATAAGCCACATGAGCCCATATGCAGGAAGAACTTCAGATTTGGGTGCACACAGATTTGATCATAGTTGTGTTTTTAACCACTTTATCAGGCACACCTCTAAATGTGTGGACAGTTCACTACCTAACCCAATAAGTTAACTGTGAATAACAAAAGGTGTAGCCTTACATACTAGTAGGGCATTAAAGAACTGCAATATTAAAGGTGGGGTAGGTAAGTTTGAGAAACCGGCTCGAGATACACTTTTTGTTATATTCCATGGAATGCTCTTAACATCCCGTTAGCAATGAATATCTTAAGTGCTTTGACAAAAAATCCATAAAAGAAAGTCATCTGTGGAAGCCGTGGTACTGTAAAAAGCACGACCAATCATTTGAGCCGGCCCGGCTAAAATAACTGGATGGCCTACCTGCCTGTCAGCCTTCCATCTGTGCACAAACTTATCTCGTGCCCTCATTGGTCATGTGCTTGTTCGTATGTGTTGGAGGAGGGGCTCTGTAAGGAAGTGGCAGATTTTTTCCGGTTGTGTATTTTCAAATTCTAGCGCACTCGAGCTGGTTTCTCCAAAATTACCTACCCCACCTTTAAGTATGGGTTAATTTATTATGAGATGACAATTAAAAAATAAAAGATCTACTGCAGAGAATTTACGTCCGACATTTTTATCATTTTCACGGGGGTTAAATCAGTATGTTACTTCTATAAATGTGATTTATTAAAAAAAGTCATCTTCCGAAACCTTAAACTAATACCTTTAATTCAAACTGTAAGTCCATTTGTAGTCTTAATATATGAAAAGCATCATTAGAATTTTTATTTGAATGAAACTACCCAACTGAGAGAACTGACTCATGTCAATTCTATATCATTCTGAAAATAAAATCTATAGTGTAAAGTGCAGGAACATGTTAGTCATGGCATTAATATGTACAATATGATATACCTTGAGAAAATATGTTCGCATTTCATAGATGTTTGGTCCTGGTCTGGGCACGGGTTCATTCCAGAAACTGAACTCCAGGAGGAGCTGATTTCGCCTTGAAACCAACATTTTTGCCCTCTCTTTGCGAAACTCGAAATACGCCTGAAGGGAGACAAAAATGTTTTCAATAAGATATACTATACAGTTATTTTATTTTGCTCAATTGAAAAAGGAAATTCTGGAATGCTGATAAGAAACTCAAATCAGTGTAAATTAAATTTTAAATATCAGTTTTTCCATTCTGTGCAACAAGGTTAACGCTTAAGAAACAGTTCACAGTCAACCTTGTCATTGTTCAGCTTCTTCAGGCATTCAGTCAAGGCCGGGTATCCTCCTCTGTATCGCCATAGATGCACTGCAACAAACAGAGCAGCAGATGTCACTGCAGCACTGTGTGAGGACTGAAGCCACCCACACAGCAAACAGACACAGTCCAATACATTGTGATCACTTCTACCTGTCACTGAATGATCCTAATGTACATTATACAGTGTAAATGAGCATATGTAGGGGGAGAAGTGCTGGCGTGAGTCATCTGGTAGTGTCTGTACATTTCTCTGTCATGCTCTGCCAAACAATTCACTGCAGCTATGAACATTCATGGGGCCAGAAAAAAGGAACTAACCCTCAAACAAACGGTGAATGTGATCAACAAGATGTGACACTCTTTTATTTATTTTTTAACATGTTGTCTGTTTACTGTTGTTATTGCTGCTTACCTGCTTGATCCTGTTCTCCATACCAGGTATTCCAGCTTCCGACCACCTCACATGGGTAATCCTGGTCCTGATGGAGCCTGGTTTGCACCTCAGCCCTAAGGGCAGCATAACAAACATTACAATATTTGATGAATTGCGTGAATGTGCCAGAAGTCATAATATACTGTCACCACGAACAACTAGAAGGCCCTCAGAGAGTAATAAGTCCACAAATATCTATCTTGCTGTTACACCCAAGATATCACTTCAATTGTACAATGAATTACTCTTGAGATTCTGCAGGACTATTATGCAATATTTTCCATCTCAGAATGATACGAAACAAAATGTAATTAGCAGCTCATTAACTAATCTGTCTTTAATTATGTGGAAATGCAGGTTTTCAAAATATACTTTTGAAAGAAACCTAATTAGACATGCAAAGGTTTTCGTACTGGTCGAAATATACTATATTGTTTGAATAAATGCAAGAAACGTTTTAAAGCAGTGAACACGCTCACTCTAGACTGTTGTATGCTTCCATGCACTCTGGTTTGACGTTGTGAACTGGAAAAAAAAAGACAGTCATATCACAAAGAGGTGTTTTTTTTTTTTTATAAAAGCAACCCTTAAAATTCCTCAACAAAGTAATTTCACACTCCGATTCAGCACAGGCTCCTATTCAAAAAAACTGATTTGCTTTCAATAGGTTATAGGCTACGGCCGATAGAGTGTTCAAATTGAAATCCCCACATGGTGTGATGTACGCCACAAAAAGGATCAAAGCCCTAGGAAGAATGATAGATTTCTCTACAAGAGACAGACACAGTTATCACAGACTCAAAAGAAAACATTGTTTTGATGTCGCTTTAAAACTGTACAGACTTGGCACCTCACCTCACACTATAATATATTGACTTGTGCTTGTGCTTGTCCGTAATGTCATGTAACATATAGTTCTCTCTGAGGTCACTGAAGCCAGATTTAATTGTATCAACATTATTTGTTTAGCCATTTTCAAGAGAGATAAATGGATGATGGACTGTTGAAACATAAAACACAATCAATTTCATTATAATATGATGCAACACATGTATCCCATTGACTTGTGTCTGGCCCTCTGCAGCCTCACGCTGAATGAAGTCAAACCTTCACTTGAACCAAAGTATAGATCTTTATGCCTACATTGAATTTTATACAGGCTGCTGGTCTCTTTCTTTGACAACAGGTTGGAGTGGGCATCTTTCCTGGCATCCAGTTTGTGCGCAAATACGGAACGGAACCAGCCTTTGTCTCCGCTCTCCGAAAACCTCCTACACAGAAACGAGATGACAGAAGTTTCACAAAGGCTCAAAGCAACAACGTAAAAAGTATTTTGATTTAAAAAGGAAAAACTCAAAAAGGGAAGTGGAGATCTGCGTGACATTATCAGCTAAAAGATGGTAATATTCTTTGATATGAAAAACATACATACTGTAGGAGTGAGTGGGATGAATAGTAGCTTGTGTCTTCAGGAAAACACCTTTTTTCAACCACTCTGGAGTGGATAAAAGTGGCATTTTAATCACTTTAAAAAAAATATTTAAGGCTTGAATAATCACAAAAACAATCCATAAATGTAATTGGTTGTATAGAGCTATGTCATGCTAAATATTGCTTCAGCGCTCAGAATGACATTCAATCCAAGGACAGTTTAAGGATTCCCTTTTAATGGACTTTGAATTTTAAAACGTTTTTAAAGCTGCTTCAATGTCAACATTAACTTCAATTTAGAGATTTCTGTGTGTGTTGGACCAAGAACGGCCCAGAGAGGATAGTTGGTATATGCCCACTAATGGATTAAGAAGAAGCTATATTGTGCATATGTTTACTTGTTAATTCACAGACACTTTCTAAGGCTTTATTTAATATTCTGAAATCCCCAATAAAACTTTGAAGGTCAGAGAGACTTCTTTTGTATTAACCTTAAGGGCTTTAATTAGAAACTATAATTAGAATGTACCATGGCTTCTCTGAAACATAACAAAAGTAGTAATCGAGCCAGAAAATATGTTACTGAATAAAGCCAGATAGTGGGGAGATGCATACAGTGTGGAGGCACAGATAAGATGTCAACAAGTGGTGGTTAAACTAAGTGAAGCTTTACAGGACAAAGTTCAGAGGTCCAGCAAATGATTAAAGCTGCTTTGGAAAACTGCCTGGTTGTTTTATTAATAATGACCCTGCTGTCTTACATAAAAGGTGTTTACTTCAGCATATTGTAGGCCATTACACACAAACATTGACCCACTTTATCATTCAGTTTTTAAACTTGATGTGGATACAAATATAGATAAAGTTAAGATGCAGGCTGAAATAAACACAAAAGCTTGGTTTGTGTTGCATAGACACAGAAAAGTCTGTTTAGCAATATTTTTGTTTGGTAACGTTTTTATAGCAAACTATGGCACATATTTTCCAAGTTCAGGCATGTAAGGTTAGATTTTAAAATGTAACTTACTGTTACACTTAAAGGTAAACATACAGAACGTTGCACAGGCTTTTTAATAAACGTGTAATTATGCTGTACAGTTAAAATAACTTCTTTACCTGGTTGCTCGGTGCAGCCTCGAGGAATACCCGAACAACATCTGTCCTTTGGACCACACAGTCGTCGCCATGTTCTCTGTCAACGAAAAACTTATTTGGACAGGTAAAAGCAGCAGTGTGGTTAATGTTTACCTCCTGGCGCTGCCCTCTGTCTTGTGACGCCCGGCTAACCCTTCAGCTGCTAAAGGGGTTAGCCCGCCGGGGATTTAAAAACACGCGAGACTCTGTGACGCAGTTACGCAGGGGTAGATGAGTTTGTCTTTATTTAAAACAGTTTGCTAATGAAATCATTTACTTAAAACATGAATGTGATGCTTTAATTGTATGCAGGACATGCATGTTTAATTTAATTGTAGGCCTTTTTATTCATGCCATTCTATAGGCTTGGCAATGTAATGCTTTGGTATTTGGAGCATTTGTATATTACAAGCATTAAGTTAAGTCATCAAGGTTCAAGGTTCTTTATTTGTCATACGAACATAGCTACAGAGTAGTTATGTACATTTTAGGGTTCATCCCTAAAAAATAAAGCATACATTATATTACAAAATACATTATTGTAAGTCCAAACAGCCAACTGTATGGGGGATGAAACCATTCAAAGATTTAAATTAAATGACTAAATGTACAATCTGAAAGGTTGTAACTATAGTTTAGCAGCTGGTAGATACATTTGCTGTGTTGGTCAAAAACAAAATCTTAAATCTTAAAACCTTTCCCTGCAAAGCAACTAAGACAAAGAAACAAGAACTACAACCCTTAACAAAATAATTACTATGGGGCGCATGTCAGTGCAGAAAATATAAAACTCAAGCAAAGAACATTAAGTATCTATACTGTAGCCTAAGTATAAATGTTTAGGACCTTTCTATCCCTGGATTTAAATAAGACAACCTGTATCTAACCCTGTTGGAGTTGTTCTGCTGCAGTAAACAAGCCTCTTATCTAACAGTGGATCATTCTTTCAAAGCTGGTTTCTCTATTAGACTAGTCATGCAGTACTTATATCCTTTTTGTGCAACCCACTTTCACTTCTTTTCATACACAATGGGGTGCTCTCTGATCCTCTCTATCATTCTACCCACTGACATTATATAACATTAAATCAGATCATACCTAAAAAGAATCATACTCAATACCTGTATTGTATGCCTGTGTTCAATGACTTTAACAACACCATATTTTAAGCCCACACACATGCGGTACTCAACATTTTTAAAACAAAGAAACAGTCGCTTAATTATCTGGCATTAAAAAAGTTTATTTCACACAAAAACCTTTCATTTAGTGGAATATATTTGTTGAATTGACATTTTTAAATGATATCCTTGCATACATCCATCCTTTGGTTCATTTGTCGATGAAAACTTCCACAGTGCTTTGACAAGACTTATTCCATATTTTCTGGCATAAAATGTAAGCAATTACAGTAGCACTTTTTAAGCTTTTGCTTTTCTGAATGTGCCAATTCTGCCCCCATGATTAACTGTAAGCGCAGGGAATATTTCTTTCACTGCCTTATACAGATCTTCAAAATCCTGGTTCACCGTGATGTCCTAGAGAGAGTGATACAGAAAAGCAGTGAATAAGTTTGAAAGGGAGAATATTTGCAGAAAGTCTCATGAAGATGGAGGTGGAAATGTCGGTGTGTTACCGAGAAGTATATTGCTTCCATGGCTGAATCTGGGTTTTCTTGTACAGACTTGAGGATGGTAAAGCACCCAGCATTCTGGATGGGGTTCCTACCCATCTGGCCAAAGACAAACATTAATAATGTGAGAAAATTGCAATAGTGCAAATGATTAACACCAAACACCTAAAATCATCCTCCTATAGCCATATGAGGAATAGTTAAGCATTTTTGGGAAACAGACAAACAACCAATGGTGCTGAAAAATGAAATCAACGACCGATTACCCAAAACCGCAGTTCTGCCAATAGCTGGTTACAAAGATCAATCCTACTGTATACGCCGAAGTTGAAATGCCCAACTTTACCCAACCCGAAAAAAAATAAAAAATTGTTAACAGCCTGTTACAATAAACATGTTTGGTCTCGTGAGATAATTTCATAATTTTATGATGGCTTGAGCGTTAACATTCAGAGCCAACCACATTGAGCTTAACAACTCTTAGTAAAGTATGGGTGCATGGCGTCACAGAGACTACGTCTGCGCATTTTCCAAAAAGGTCAAACTATTCCTTTCAAAAATGTCCAACAAATTACAAAATCAAATCGTGCACTATCTACATTCAGCTGGTTATGGCGTGACTTCTACTTCAGACTTGTCTATTCTTACCCCAACTACATTTTCAATTTAGGAGTGCACATGTCATCAACAATAAATGCTTAAACTGTAACTCAATATCAATGTATTTATTCACCACAACTTTACAATTCCTAACTTGTTTTAGGCAGTCGAAGTAAGTCCTTGTGGCGCTGGAAAAAATACAGACAAATACAGTGATCCAGTTATTTATCCCATTTTATCCACTGATGCCCCCCATTGCCTTGCCTTTGAAGCTAGAATCAATCTTTTAACAGCTTACATTCAGGGATTTGATTGTCTTGTTTACTTTGAGGCCCATGGCTAGGTGGATAGCTCCTTCAGGGGGTATTCGGTTGTTACTGTGGCGAGAATTGTTAGAGAGAACAAATAAAGTGTTTGAGTGTGAGGAAAGCAATCATAAAGTGTTGTTTTTTTCAGAAATGGCATTATTCATCCATGTACAGAAGTGCACACATGATCTGGAAATCTGTGAGGCATGCTAGGTTTTGCTTCAGATGTTAAGAGAAAGGCAAAATAAACTCAATTACCTCGACTTTGTTAATGCTTACAGTCTCACTTTAAGAAAACATTTCACCAGTGTTTAAAATTTGACAGTAAAACTACAAATCTGATACAGCAGGTGGGCCTTATTAGGAGTCTCATGGAGGATATTTTGTATTAGTTTGGCCTCACAGTAAGTTACAGACCAGCATTTGATCTGATTCACGATACGAATGACCAACTGAATTTGTAACTCAGAGCGAGCATAAAATAATCTGATTACCAGATACTCATACCTCACATTCAACTCCTCCAGAACGGTGTTTTCTTTCAGAGCCTTTCCTAAAGCACTGGCTCCTTCTTTACCAAGGCCATTGAATGACAGATCCACTGTCCTTAGGCAAATGTTTCCCTAAAAACAGAAATAATCGTTTGTAAAGCCCCTGTGACACTGTCCCGAAATTGACACCAGATGGACACACGATAAAGGAAATGTTCAAATTCGGCCAAGGCACACACAACATCGGGCCATTCGTGAGGTCATCTTAAGCCATCGTATGACCGCAGTTGTATGTCTTGAATGTAATTTAGGTTAACTTCCTGTTTTATTTAGATGCTTTTATTTTGAAGGCGAGTTTACGCTGTTGGCAGGAAGTTGTTGTTGCTATGGAAACAACATGACGGTGATAGGTCATATCTTCTAATCTACATATAAAGACGGAGAAAGTAAATAATAAAGTGTATGTTTAAAAGTTAGCACCCCCCGAAGAGGCACAAGCTCTTACGTTGAGTGTGTATACATTCTAAAGTAAAGTACGTGTGTTGTTTGGGTGCCATCGTGTGGCCTTCTGTAGGCATCGTACTTGCTTCGGCTGTTGCTTGGCTGTTGACCAACTTCGGGGCCATCTTCGTGCAAAATTCACAATTCCATATTCGTGTGTCCATCTGGTGTCAATTTCGGGACAGTGTGCTTAAAGTAAGCATTTAAATGCAATCACAAGAAATACTTGAACGACTTCTCTGATGTGATCAACTGAGTGAGGACCAAAGGAAGACTTTAATTTAGAGTGGGGGTGCAGAAGTATTGATCCTGATGTAATCAGTCTCTCAGGAACTAAATCAATCACACCCGTCAGTGCAGCTTACTGATCCGGGTCCTCTTGACCTCCTTGATCATTAAGATAGGAAGAACCACTTACAGGGTTCCCGCGGGGTCTTATGATCTTATGATAAAATGATGGGATTTGAAAGGTACTTCTGTGTTGCGATGGCGTCTAAATGTGTGTTGGGGGAAATGTCGAGAGGGGTCTGCCTGCAGGCCTCCACTCTCAGGACAGTTCCGGTGTAGGCTCCACTCTCAGGACACCTCCACTCTCAGTACAGGAAGTGACAATTCTGACGAACACTTTTTTTTCCCCGCCCCCCGAAGGACTCGTCTGATTGAAGTTTTCAAATCACAATGGAGACTCATCACGGAGGTGATGAGTCTGCTCACCATGCACTTTGGAGGAATGTAACGGGAGTTATATGCACTTTGGGTCGGCCTTGGTCAAGCCCTTTTGACCCCCCCAGCCTGGTTCTCATAAAAGTTGACTTCGCCATATTTCGCACAAATGACACCATGGAGGAATGTAACAGGAGTTGACAGGGGACTCTGCCCGCCTCACGAGTGCCTATTTTCGGACACTTTTTTTCACAAGTAGAAGGCAGAAGAGGATTAGTTGTTAGCAACAGTAAAATGGACAACCAAAAAGTAGACACGACAAAAAAAACAAAATCAATAACCTTATAGCCGATCCTCCTCCTTTGCTCTCTCACATAACTAACTAATGCAAACGAACTAAGAAAAAAATAGGCGATATTTAATAATATTAGTGTCCTGAATCCAAAAAAAGTACAAGTTAAAAAGTAGCTAGAACAAATAAAGTAGCTCACGTAAACAAATGCATACACACTACTCAGCGGCTCCAAGACAACATGCGAAATCCATCAGCTGTCCGTAAAAAAAGAATAAATTCAACACTTCACCCAACGCCTAGCAGACGACAATATAGAGAACAATTTAATCACATAGACACGGACTCGAACACCAACAACATAGAGTAACATAACAAACGCTGACACAAACATAGACAGTCACTATAAACTTGAAAAAATATGAGTTACAAGAGTTACATGAAAAAACACCCTAAAATAAAAAAAGTTCACCGGCCTTTACCACGAAGGTATTGATCTCCATCTCAGTTCTACCTATCTTATACTTTTTCTAGGTCTTTTAGGCTTAAACAGGACCACACATAAAAAATCCTTCCTTGACAAACTACACAAGTTTACTATACACACCTTTTATAGTTACATTAACCAGTTAATTCGTTATTTTCAAAGAGATCTAAATAAACAATGATCATTAGGAGACAACAACCGTTCCTGTCTCCAGTTAAAGTGCAAAATGACGAACATACAATAAGACACGTAAGAGTCTCACAACCACGCGCCCAGAATCGTTAATAGTATAGCCACATGTAACAGTCATTGGGACCAGTAATACCGTGTTGCTTTATAAGAGTAGTCTCAGGCTGCGTGAAGGACCCCCGAACCTCGGACGGACGTCCGAAGGTGTAGAGTCACTGTCAAGGCACCATCGGAGGTGAGAGTTCATGTCCTTCACTGCTAATACTGCTGTGCAAAAAAAAAGGGGCGGGGGCTTCCTGTATTGACTAACTTCAAAAGTTTAGTGTTACCTCTGAGTGTAGTGCCTCCACCTACTCAGACGAGTGGTACGTGAAACCTCCTTACATTGCCCTCAACTGTCCCCTGAGGACGGGCGGCGCGTTTGCGGAGGGCCGGTAGTCTCAGTTGGGCGTCAAGCCCCCTTGGCTGTTTGGTCTCGTGGCCGTGATCCTGCTCGGCCGTCTCCGGGAAGGCTACCCACCCAGCGCAAACGGGTAAGCTGTCACTCTCCTCTCCTCTTTTTACCGTTGTTTTTACACAAGTTTTAGGCAATTATATACCTACTCACCCCCCTTTGCCGACCTGTGTCCGGCACCCCCCTGTGGACTCTGTGCGTCACAGGGCCACCTTCCTTGGCCCATTTTATCAGTTTTTTATTTTTTTATTTTGTTAATATCTTTGGTCCTTTTANCGTGTTCGTCATAATCGTCACTTCCTGTACTGAGAGTGGAGCCTACACCGGAACTGTCCTGAGAGTGGAAGCCTGCAGGCAGGCTCCAAGCCCCCAGGAAGTGCGTCGGACTCTGATGAGAATATTCGTTGTGGCCAAATGACGGTACTACACTTCCGTTAGGTTGCTGGGCCCGGAAACCTTGTGAAGACTTACAGAAAACGTTTGACCTCTGTCATTGCCAACAAAGGGTATATAACAAAGTATTGAGATGAACTTTTGTTATTGACCAAATACTTATTTTCCACCATAATTTGCAAATAAAGTCTTTAAAAATCAGACAATGTGATTTTCTGGATTTTCTTTTCTCATTTTGTCTCTCATAGTGGAGGTATAACTAGGATGAAAATTACAGGCCTCTCATCTTTTTAAGTTGGAGAACTTGCACAATTGGTGGCTGACTAAATACTTTTCTGCCCCACTGTATATATATACAGTGCAATAATTCTTTCATGCTAAATGAAGCTCTGTTGCTTGGATATCACTAGATCTTGTTACAGCGTAATATAAAAGTATAACAATTTATGTGTAAATTAGCATAATTACTAGCTAGCCGCTAGCTGCTAACTGCCGCCCATGCTGCCGCCTCGTTAATATCAAATCCATCATAATAACAATCCAGTACCATGCTGTCATGAACGCGCGGTGCTGTTACGTGTACGCAAATTGACGTGCTTGATGTGAACGAGCATTTTGGGGGCATGGATGTATGTACCCTGACTTGTACACAGTCCATGACCAGGGGGCTGTTTCAGAAATAGGATGAGCGAGTTAGCCTGGCATGCTCAAGTAGCATTTATCAACTGGCATCATGAAAATATTTAATATACACATTATAAACACATTCTAAATAGTGTCATCAGAGTATATCATGATTTTGTTCTTACAGTTACTGTACCACATTTCAGATTCTGGTTTTGGAAATCCTCTATGCCTTGTCAAAAATTGGCCCTATAGCCAATTGACCATTTGCTGTAAGAACAAAAGGCTGTGCACCTGGGTAGTATGATTATTATTTTTTTGCCTTGCATAACAAAAAACACATTAGCAAATCATGACTGATACAAAATGTATGCAATAATTCAGAGTGCTTTTCATTAGCAATGTTCTTAATTAGAATTTTATTATAATTTAATTCATATTAATATTTATTGTATTACTTCATGTGATACAAGTTCACAGAACTGTCCTGGTTTTACCTCACACATTATTACCTGAAGACCACCTTTTGCTTGAATGAGTTGAAAAACTAATATGGTGTTCAAACTTTAAATCTCCAGGTGGATTACCCCTAGGCCATTAGCCAATATCGCAGCTCCTCTCCCTCGAATGCAGTTCCAGGCCAGACTTAGTGATCTCAACCCTGTGTTCTCTGACAGAGCCTGTCCCAGGCTCTGCCCTTAAAGGAGAGGACAACATAAGAAGGAATAATGTCAGTATGACAAATTAAAGGCTACATTTTTTTCATTGTAAAACCAAGAAAATAGCTAAAAACATTGGTAACATACAAGGGCTTGTTCTGAATGAATACAAACAACTCAGCTTCAAGCCTTTGGGACAATTTCTCAAATAGGTGCAATCTGAATTTGGAAAATATACACTTCCAGACAGGTGGAGGGGAAAATAAATCTCAATGATGGATATTTTAGACATGTTGCTGGTCAGAAAGCATAATCAGAAGTACTTCAAATCAAACTCAGACTTCATGCTTAAACTCATCTTATCTCCAGATGGTAGATTCCACTGAGATGGTATGATTGTGTGTCTCATGGTCTAAAACAGGCATCCTCAAAGTCCGGACTCCGGTCCGGATCCGGACCGAACCACAACTGTCTCTGGACTCTGAGCAAATTATACTTTTCATATGTGTTATCTGCGAGACATCGCCACAACGCAACGAGTCTAAATGTTCCGCTATGTCCACTACAAACAGCGCTCTGCATGTCCGACTGTTCCACTGTATGTGTGTGTCTGTCAACGCATTGGTCCAATCACATTCAGCATCCCGTCAGCGTTTTTTCCCCCCACCAACAGTCTGCGAATCAGAGGCACAGTAGGGCGGGTCTTCGCGGAATGCGGGTGGGAAAAATGCGTGTGTTTAAAAAAAAGAAGTCAGAGCGAGAGTTAACAGCTCATCTAGTTGCATCTGTACTTTAGCTAGTAGCCTAGTTTCACCTACTGGGGTGGCCTGGGGGGGCAACTGCTATCCTGAAAATAGGCCTTGCCACCCCAGTTGGCAGCTTTGTTTTGAAAGAAAAGTTGTGGCTCATCGGACATTTATGAGAGAAAGTCTCTAATGTCCGAGTGCAAGTGAATGCAGCACAAGACGCACGCCTTGTAAGCACAGACACAATAACAATGAAAACTGCTGCATACAGATTATTTTTGTTTTTGCAACCTCGTGTGAATGACCGTAATAAACGGACCTTTGTCTTATTGAAAAGAAAATGTTGGACCTTTAAGATTTGTATTTGAGTACCCCTGGTCTAAAAGCATAACGGCCCGTCCACACACAGGCATGGAAAAAATCTTTCAAAGCTTCGCCCATTCTCTTGAATGGGGTGACGTAGAAGATTTTTAATCTTCGCCGAACTGCATTGTGGGGATCGGAGCATGGCTTTGCAAGCATCGTGAGCATCAAAAGTTGAGCAATGTTCAACTTTTGATGCTCCCAATGCTTGCGAAGCTGGCATCAGCCAATAAAATCCCGTTTATGCAAATCCCACCAGTACAAGCACTAGCGAATCAAACCGCGTGCAAACTGGGAGAGCCAGACCGCAGTTCATTTCCTCATATTCCAAACGAGAAATTACGGTAGTAAATCACCCGGTACTTTACGACCAGAACTATTTACCGGGATACAAACCGGAGGAACCAGGCATGGAGGGAGGTGACAGAGACAGTGGGTGAAACTGGTAGGTTTTCGCCTGTTTGGAGAGTTTATATCCAGTTGACTTCGTTTTAACATTGCTATTGCTTTGTATGTCAGGGGCGGGAGATTCATGTGATTGGTTGTTGGTCGCGTTGCTCGCAAAAAATCGCCAAGCTTTAGACACGCCCAGCATCAAGATTTTTCAAGATTTTTTTCATGCCTGTGTGTGGACGGGCCGTAAGTCTGTGAGGATTCTAAAAAGAATGATCCCCATCATCATTTCACTAAATGTAGCTCAAGAATAAGAATGGGCACAACACTTAGTGGATCATAACCAATGGATACGCTCAAAACGTGCTTGATCGAAAATGAAATAGAACCATAGCATGAATTCTCAGAGTGTTTTATTGGTGCACTTTCTTCTATATGGAAGAGTGCACTCAAAAAGCATGAGGATGTCCTTTGATATTTAATACAATTGGATATTTCGGGATGAATCATAGCAGCAATGAAAAATGGTGGTGCACCTTTTCCTCATTCAGATTTATTTTCAATTATGTATACATCAGACGCTCATTGCTTCCTGGTCTGACATTCTCCCACAAGGTGCCTGTCACAAAGCTCATCCACATGGTAATTAAACAACTAAAAGGGGTTTTAATCCAGGCGAAATGTGCTTGACCTTTGAATGCCAAAGCCTGCTGTCCTGTGCATGCTTCCGAATGTTTTTTCAATGATCTAATAATAGGAGATACTAGATATTGCCTTAATTAAAAGTATTCTGCATTCATAGCAAATAGTCAATTTATAGAGCTCTAATGTTTATTCAAATGGATAGATGGTAAATCAACTGAATTCATAGAGGGAGAGCCTGCCCTACAAGGTGAGTGTGGTGAGGGAAATGACCATTCACACACATTTACAGACCATGTTAGGTCAATTTGAACTAAAGCCAATATTACATTACATGTAATTTTGTTAGACGCTTTTATCCAAAGCGATTTACATACTTTCAGTACTGTGGTCAATCCCCACAGGAGCAATTTGGGGTGAAGTGTCTTGCCCAGGAACACAACGACATGCTGACCGCAGTGGGACAGTGGGATTCGAACTTGCTGTCCACTGAGCCACAGCCTCCCATATATTAAAGTAACATACTTACATAATGTTGCATTGAACTTTGAGCATTAATCTCCATCCCATGCAAGACTTTTGGGATTAATCAGAACTACCTGAAGTGTTAAACGGTCCATATGGGTGTAACGTTTGAATGTCCACATGCTTGATTCCATACTTTTGGCCATACAGTGTTTTCTTTGACATGGTACAAATTCAACTGAAGGTTGAAAAGCAAACTTTCTGTTTAATAAGAGCTCTGTCAAAAATAAGCCAGAGTTATTTATCCAATACAGCACGCCTCTTTCATGTCTGTTAGAATGCCCGAGCGGCCATGGAGGAAAAATAGGAGAGCAGGCATGTTGGGGTTTTTCCATAGAAAACAGATTTTTTTTTTTTGCATCCACTGTGAGCACATGGCTGTCCTCCAACATCCACACAGTATACAACCCCTTCTCAACACCACTGACTGCTTTTTATAGGAGGCCTCAGATCTTCATTGGCTGGCACATACCATTATATTTATGTAAGCAAACAATTGACTACCACTATATACACATTTACCAAATATTTTCCCACCACTTTACCAATAATATACACCTGAATAAAGCTATAACAATATACATTAAATAGATACAGCTATGTACAAAAATGTCGAACTCCCCCCTGGAGACTACCACTTGCCGTTTCCCTCCCGGAACTATATTTAGAGGTGTGCGGGCCCGGAGGAATTATTTTGCCCGAACACCCTGGGAGAGAGAACAGACAGAGGTAAGTTTACTCATCACACAATCCATCACTACTTCTCACGTTTACTTCGTGAACAGTCCCTCGCTACCCGCAATGTATGAATATGTGCCTTTTAACCCGTATCCATTTCTTTACTCAGGCGAACGGCGAGCAGGAACGGCCCGGCGTCCGCGCCGCACGCCACTCATCACAACAATACAATTCAATCAATTGTCAATAAACATATCTATCCATTAATAAAGTGTGTTGTTTAAATCATGTGCCAATACTGTGTTAATATACCCTATACAGTACAATGATTATATCAACATGTCCACGGAGCTCTAGTAGCGGCGTTTCGTCGTTACAATGTCCTTTTGCTTTTTCAATGATCAATGATGGTAGAGTTACATTCCTTGAAAGACTAAGTGCTCACATTTATATATACAGTCTATGGTGCTCACATAATATATGTGACCTTTACAATAAAGAACTAATTGCTGTTCTACCTGCTTGCTCTCCCAGAGCGTTGTGGCTGAGGTCGAGGTGCTGCAGCCGAGAGTTGGTGATCAGAGCTGGGCCGAGGTGTTCAACGGACCGGTCTGTGAAATGGTTTCCTGACAGATTGAGGTTCAACAGGGTGCTGTTCTCCTTTAGCATACTAGCTATGGCTCCGGCCCCATGATCCCCAAGGCTGTTGTCGGAGAGGTCCACCTCTGTGATGACACACAAGTACACAGGTTATGATGCAAATATTCCAGTGGAAACAACAGTACCTGGCAGGAGAATGTATTTCCAATTGCAAAGAGGGAAAGACAGACATAGGGGAAGTAGGTTTTTTTTTCACAATTCTGTAATGTTTTATCGATTTATACTGTAGAGTGGTTGTTACAACTTTTTATGAAGCCCCATCAGAAACCTTACATTTGTTCAATACGTTGGTATACCTGTAAAATCGATCATTTCTAATCTCTAACTTTTTAGAGTTCTCAATTGTTTTGTATGCCTGTGTTACATGCCAGGCAGGCTGTACTTGTGTGGTTTTCTTTCCCTCCTGTGTTTCTCTCTTCTCCCTGTCTTCTGCACAGCTAATCAGCAGCCGATCGGTATCTGCTTGTGCACCTGAGTCTGATGGCCTATCAGCAGCCAGGGCTGACCATAAAGGAGGCACCCAGGAAGTCTTCTCTCTCTCACTCTGGGCCTGTTGCTGATGAAGGAGCCTGCAGTGTTTAGCAACTCCTTCTCTTTGTATTGTCTGACCTTTTTGAAAGTGTGTGTGTTGAGAGGTGTAGGAGTTAGGTAAGTCTGGGGTAACCTGTATATTTCTCACCACGTAGCTAACTAATGTTTAGACACACTAGGTTAGCGGATTGTTGCCACCCATGTATATTGTTTTGTCAAATTCTTTGTAGTTTATTTAGTGAGGGTTTTTTTGTTTGAGTTTTGGTTTCAAAGGATAGATGTAGAGATAGGCCTGGTTTTGTTAATAAACCTTTTGTCAACTGTTACGCTGACTCCCTCATTTTTATTGGTTGTATGTTATTGTCTCAAGGTTCCTTAGACCAGGGGTTCCCAAACTTTTCAGCCCGCCACCCCCAAAATAACAGTGCCAGAGACTGAAAATGTTTAATTTAATTTTCATTTTGTAATCATCTCGCGACACCCACTCGGGGTCTCGCGACCCCCCCGGGGGGGTCGTGACCCCCACTTTGGGAACCCCTGCCCGAGACCTTAGTGGGGATGTAACAAATGATAGGGAAAGTGTATTAGCTACACCTAGAATTGACAAGATTAATCCTGAGGCTCCTCCTGCAACGCTTCCTAGGTTTGAGGCTTTCTCTCCGGGTAGCGTTGGTGCAAGTAGTGATGCCAAACTGAAGGTCGTCTTCAGCTGGAGGTCCAGGAGAAGGAAATGGTGCGTAGAGCGGAATATGATTACAAACTGCAGATTCGCAAGTTAGAGATAGAAGCTGAGAAAGAAATCACGTTAAAGCGGCTTGAAGTTGGTGCCCTGCGAATATCTTCAGAGCAAACATTTGAGAGGTCAATACCTTCGCATACAAAAAGTTTTGATGTTAGTAAAAATATTGCTTTGGTGCCAACTTTTAGAGAGTCGGAGGTTGACTCATATTTTTGTGCTTTTGAGAGAATTGCTACCGCACTAGTCTGGCCTAAAGACATGTGGCCAATCCTACTACAGTGCAAATTAGTAGGTAAAGCTCAGGAAGTGGTATCTTCACTTTCTTTGGAAGAAAGCTTGCCTTACGAAGTGCTTAAAGAGTCGATCTTGCGTGCTTATGAGCTTGTGCCGGAGGCCTACAGACAAAAGTTCAGACACCATAAAAAGTCTGCTACTCAGACATTTGTTGAGTTTGCGCGAGAGAAGGGCATTCTCTTTGATAAATGGTGTGCGGCTAATGAAGTGAAGGATCATTTTGAGAGTCTTCGTCAGTTACTTCTCTTGGAAGATTTTAAGAATTCTTTGCCTGAAAGGATGGTGATATTCTTAAATGAACAGAAGGTCACTTCACTGGCTAAGGCAGCTGTTTCAACGGATGAATTTATGCTCACTCACAAGACTGTGTTTTCTTCACCCTTGCGCCCAGATAAAGCTACAGAGTCGCAAACTGGAAGACCTGATCTTGGCCCAACAACTTTTGAAAGGTCTAGAGGACCACCATCACCTCCACGGGGGCCCCGTGAGTGTAACTACTGCCATAAAACGGGACACCTTATTTCAGGGTGTCATTTCTTAAAGCGTAAACAACAATTTTCGCAACGCTTTCAAACGCCAAAAGGCATGGGACTCATTAAAGTAGTTTCCCTATCAGACAGAAATGTCCCAGGAAGATGATGTACCTGATCCCTGCTTCAAACCCTTTATTTCAAAGGGCTTTGTTTCTTTAACAGGGGATCCTGAAGACCAGCTGCCAGTAAAGGTACTTAGGGACACCGGAGGTTCTCAGTCTATTATTAGAGAAGGCGTCTTACCTTTAACCTCCAGGTCATCATGTGGATCAAGTGCTGTTGTTCAAGGGGTAGGCATGACACTAGTTGCGGCTCATTTGCACAATGTTTATATTCACTCATCTCTTGTCAAAGGATTCTTTAAAGTAGATAAATAAACTACCCGGAGACTATTGTGTGTTCGTCCTTTCTTAGCCCCCATGAAGTCGACTAAATAGACGTAATTTGAATCTAGTCCTCTTTGTTACTTGGGTCCATGAACCGAACTGATAACGAGTTGTCGGTTTCAGTAATACTCCCACTTTAGTTGTGGAACTACCGTTCCGTC